AACCTGAGGCTTTCGAGGCCCTCGAAACGGTGGCCCAGAGCAGTGACTGACAGACCCTGGGATTTCACATATTTTCCAGAGCAATATGATTCCAGAGAAAAATCTTAGCATCAACCTGGAGCTGGCAAGTTTTAATATTGGTAGGTACGAACTCAAACAGCCCACCGCTTTCTATTGTCTCCATAATATCATTAAAGAAATAAGATGTACACACACACTGGTGGAAATTATGACCTCAGAATAAAGGGCAGCCTTTCAGATGAATGTATCTGGCTTTATGAAGGGCTGCTTCGCACTCACTTTTCTCACTTCGTCTTAGTAAAAAGTGAAAACTTTTTACCTGCAACACCAGTTTGCTAACTGGCCTCACAGACAACTCCGTGCCCTTCAGTTACTATTGTTTGAGCGCATTCCCTCCTCAAATTTGTGTGTTAAAGTTTGGCTAGCCATTGTAATGGTATTAAGAGGGCAGGAGTTTAATCCGATGTTGATATTAAGAGGTGAAACCTTTGAGAGGTGATTAGAATTGGATAGTTACCAGGGTAGGGTTCCTATGATAGTCCTGGTGGGTTTTAAGTTTATTTTTCTCTTTTTAAAAAAAAAGTTTGCTAGAGGGCATGGTTGCTCTCCAGAGAGAGAGAGAAAGAGAGAGAGAGAGGGATAAAGCACCCCCCAACAGGGCACAGTCACACCACACCCCTTCTCCCTTTCTCTACTCTCTTGGGATTTGGGGCACTCATACTTGCTTCTGAAGCTGCCAGGGCCACGATTCAAACCACAGGGTCAGCCATATGGGATCTTGTTGCTTTAATCACTGAGCCACAGAGCTGGCCTAAAAGTCTATTAAGAGGGAGAAGGAGCGAGAAAGAGGAGCAAGCACCTTGAACAGGGTCTCACACTGTGATCTCCCTCACCTGCCCTCCTAGCCAGCTAGGAGAGTGAGTGCATGCACCTAACATGTACAGGTTGACCAGGGAACCAGACTCCTGATGTTCGATAATGTATGGATCCAGTATTGCGTGAGTGGGATGTTACCACTGTGGGTTTATAAGGACAGACAGAGACATGTGCTCTGGGTTCCCTCCTGCCCTCTACGGTATTGTGATGCTGCAAGACCGGGCCTTCCAAAACTCGGAGCTGAATACACCTTTGTTCTTCTAAATCACCCAGTTTCAGGCATTTCCATTATTATTAACAGATCAGACTATACCATGGGTGGAACAGTCCCCCATTCCTCAGAACTTTTCCACATCCATGGGATGGGAAGTCTAGGTGACACAGTGTTCTGGGGAGTCCAAGAAGAAAGAATGAGGAGACCAAGTTTAATAGGAAGACTAAGGACCCTAGGAGAAGGCCTCACCCTTCAGGCAGGAAGGATCTGGCCAGAGAAGTCATGGAGAGCAAGTGGAGCCCAGATGGGTTTGGGGAAAATCTCCCAGTCCCACCACGGGCCAGCCCAGGCGGCCCTCTCCCCAGTCCACTGCCTAAGAAGGGACCCCCAGAGCCCTGAGCACAGAGTGGTTCCAGTCTTTAGGGTCAAGATGAAAGTGCTGGGAGAGACTCAGGACTATGGTAAGACAGGTCCCCCTCAAGAGAGTGGCAGCATCCCAGGGGACTCGGTGTCTACGGAGACCAGGACTTGTGCAAGAGCTGGTCTGGGGGCTGTTCCGGGGACTCCTGCGCTTCAAGGAAAGGAACAGTAGCTAATTCTGGTTAGCTGGTGTGGTGGGATGGGGCAAAGAGAGCCAGCTGGTAAACATGGCCAAATGGAGCTCTTTCCTCTACTCACCCTGCTAGGGCAGGCTCTTACTCCCTCCAGCCCATCTGTCAGGCTGGGCTTGTCTTTGACAAGTCAGGTTGTTGGGCACAAACACAGCCAGGAGTCATGCAGTCAATATTCAACGTGCTCTCAAGTTTGAGTCCAGTGGGCCTAAACATCCCAGTTCTGCACACACACAATCCCAGCCCTATACTCACACACACACACACACACACTCCTAGCCCTATACTCACACATACACACACATAATCCCAGCCCTACACTCACACATACACACACACACACACACACACACAATCCTAACCACCCCACAATCCCAGCCCTACACTCACACACACACACACACACACACACACACACACAATCCTACACACCCCACAATCCCACCCCCAC